AGACTGGAGTAATGGCTGCTGAAAATTCAGCTTTTCCATCACAGGAATAATTTTACATTCTAAAATAGATTACAACAGAAACAAGTTATTTTAAATTGTAATAATATTTAACTCTAAACTATACCTGTTCTCCATGCAGCATATATTCTCTGGCTCTTTAGGCATCATTGTCTGAATCCGGTTCGAACATAATAAGACTAAACACGCCACTGACAATTCTGACATTTTCAGTGTGTGAGATTGTCCTTCTTTGTTTTAGCATGAGTACTTAAAGCAGCTCATTTGCATTTAAAGGGATACATACAAAAACGGCAGATTTTTGCTTACCCCCCAAAAGTGGCGATTTTAACATTATAAAAAAATTATTTGTAGAGTATTTTGAGCTAAAACTTCACATACCCTCTCTGGGTACAACAGAGACTTGTTTTACATCTTGTAAAAAGGGGTCCTGCATAATAGGACCCCTTTAATGTTTACAAACTTTTGACCAGTACTTCATATATATATATATATATATATATATATATAAATGTAAACATTTCGATCATTTTACATTATTAGTAATATATTAATATTAAGGCTGTGCAAAAATTTATTGCGATTAATCGCATCCAAAATAAAAGTCTGTGTTTACATCATATATTTGTGTGTGCTGTATATAAATATTTTGTATATATAAAAACCTATGCATGCATGTATATATTTAAGAATTATTTGCGCTTAAATTCTGTATATATATTTAAATACATAATTTATATTATATAAATATAAATATTTTATATATGAATAACACATTTTCTTAAATATATACATGCATGTGTGTGTATTTATATATACAAAATAATTATATACAGCACACACAACACAAATATATTATGTAAACACAGACTTTTATTTTGGATGCAATTAATCGCAATTAATTTTTGCACAGCCCTAATTAATATTTCTTCTCAATTTCATACTCTCAGCCCCAAGAGCCATATGTATTTAGCCAGCAAGCCCAAGATGCCATGAGGACTGTGACTACACTGCGATACTCTCTCCTGCCCTTCCTCTACACACTGTTCCATCATGCGCACATCTCCGCCAGCACCGTGGCACGCTCCCTCTTCCTTGAGTACAGTACACACGCTCATTCTAGGCTAGCTAAATATCTCAGCGATGACCTCATCTCTGAGATTACTCATTTCTTTTAGGTTCCCCACTGATCCAAATTGCCAGACCATTGACAGGCAGTTCCTGTGGGGGAGTTCACTGCTTATCAGTCCGGTCCTGGAACAGGGAGCAGTGGAGGTGACGGCTTATCTCCCGCCGGGGACTTGGTACAGTCTGCTCAATGTAAGCCTTCGTCTTATACTATATACATTCACCACCAGTCAAAAGTTTGAAAAAATCTTTTTTTTAAAAATGTTTTTGAAAGAAGTCTTTAATGCTCACCAAGGCTGCATTTATTTGACCAACAAAAAATACTAATATTGTGAAATATTATTACAATTTAAAAGAACATTTTTACATTTTAATTATTCCTGTGATATAAGAAATGTTTCTTGATCATCAAACCATCATATTAGAATGATTTCATAGAATTAAATGGGCTTTTTTTACCTTCTAAGTATAACCCTTTTTTGCATAACCTGCTTCACTTTGTGATATGTTTACAAAGTTATTATGGTAAAATGTAATTCAGAGACATATGCTATGTCGTCTTTAAGTTAAATGAGACTGAATCCTCTGTGCTTTCTTATAGGGGCAAGCATATTACAGTAAAGGGGAATACATTTTGTTTCCTGCTGCTTTGGACACCATTAACATTCATGTGAGAGAGGGGAGCATCATCCCACAGCAGGTGGTGTAAATCTAGCAACAAACATAATATCTCCTTTATGCTGTGTAGCAAGTGAACTTTTGCCATTTTTTCTTCGTTTCCCAGGTTCCTGCGTTGACGACTACAGCATCTCGCAGAAACCCTTTCACTCTGATCGTGGCATTATCTGCAAAAAATTTGGCCAAAGGAGATCTTTTCTGGGATGATGGGGAAAGTCTGGACACTTATGAGAGGGGAGATTACTCATATGTTCTCTTTTTTGCTGAAGAGGTACGAAATAGCGTGAATTTTGCTTGCATGTTGAATTGATTGGTTTGGATGAGGTTTTTTCTATAGACCATTTTGCAAGATGTAAATTTTGTTTTTTCAATCTGTTTCAATTTTTTTAACACTACATAAAAGCTGGGATAAAATACAACCAACAGAACATTTAAAACTGAATCAAAAAGTTAAACAAACATCTTTTAAGATTTTTTCTTTACATGTGAAATAAAGAAAACAGTTACAAACTGAAACAGGAAGTGTTTCTGGACCAGTGTTGTTTACATTTTGCCAAATGGTCTATTGGACATCTGTTTCCCATTGCTATTCTGTGTTGGAACAGTCCAAAATGAATTGCTTCAGCAGGCAGTAAAATAAAATGAAAAACATAAAGTGCTGTTATTGCTATGAACAGATTGTATGTACAATTTATAAAAATTAAGAAAACTAGAACCTCATGGATTTCAACATACAATAGTAGAATACTCAAAAATATTGTCGAAATGTGCATTAATTTGAAATGTAATCTATTATTCATTTGATATTTTATTCCCCCGTAGTCTTATGTGGTCAGTAAGCCAGTCAAATTAAACAGATCTCTCGATTATTTGGTCCTCGGAGAAGTAAGTGTTTTCGGAGTTCAGACTCGACCTACAGCAGTGTGGGCCAATGGGCGAAAGGTTCATGACTTCTCGTACAGCGCAGACACCAAGGTATGCATCAAGTTCTGAGGTGTAGATTTCTGTTTGTCTACCTAGTTTGGTTTACTTCTACTCCAGTAGTAAGTACAAAATTTAATCATGGTGATTTAATTTTAATGGACCTTTTTCCAAAGACTTTGATGATGTGATTCCGCAGTTATCAACATTGCAAATCTAATATGAAAAGTTGTTCATATTACCATTTTTTAAACTGTAATATAATGCTTTTCTAGTGTTATATTACCATGGTAAATAGCAAAAAACTACTGTAATTAAAGGGATATATGTGTATGTATTAATCACTTATGTATTGCCAATGTGTGACCAGCTTGTTAACGAAACATAAAAAAAACTAGACCTTTCCCCGGCTTTCTAGGTTGTTAATGAAAGCTTGTCGACTGATTTTTATGTAAAGGATGTTTTTGGCGGGAAAATCAAAAGGATAGGAAGTTTACGCGCACACCCGAGAGCATTTCTTCCATTAAAAAAAATGTCAATGTGTCAGGCAAAGAAAATGAATTATTTCAAACCATAGTCTCAGATAGAATAGGCTATACTTTATAATCACAACTATCACAACAGTGTAATTTTAATTACCTCATCGGTCGAAATGATGCTGTTGAATCGCAGAGCTTGTGCAAACATATCCACTTCGCTATGATAAGATGCTTTCAAACCTCTGCCTCCACGCCGCTGTCTTGTTGTGTGTTTATTTTGTTATTGAGAGACAACATACATTTGCATATTCAACACACATTACATACATACTTGCAACATGTATATATATATTACATATTCATCTAAACATCGCTCTCAGCAGCGTGGACTAGGTCTGGATGTTCGTTACCAGTTTATTGCTGCAAAGGTATTTCATAAAACTTCTTTTTACTTCTAAACAAAGAACGAAAGTATATCGGGGTATTTTATCGCGTTTCAGCCTCTTGTACGTTACGTGTGAGTGAGCACGAGCAATACAGTGCAGTTCACGTAACGGCCACCGGTGTTGCTAATGATTTAGGTCTCTGAATTCTAAAGAGTTTCTAATGGGCTCTATGCACGGCGGTATTTCCGGTGAAGGTGTAAGGATGCTTGATAACTTGCGCCGATCGTAGAATCCAATGCAAATACCAAATTTATATTGAATTTTATACTCTAATTTAAATTACATCTAAACGTACGTTTCGTTTCAAAGACTGGAGGACAGTACATTTTGAAGACTCTGCCATAATCCTGTTTCCTCGGTTCTCCTCCACTTAAATCTCCACAACTGGAAATAGACGAGCATCCTTGCGTCAAATGCGGAACTTATGCGTGCATACAACAACTGAGAGAGGGGTGGCAAATTTCCCATCATTCTCTCTTCTGATGGCTGGAATATTTGGAATGTTGTGGAAACACTATCATGTTTTTTGTTGTTGTTGTTTGTTTGTTTTTTTGGAACAAATGGAAATACAAACAGTGCTGTTGTCTCCCATTTAATTACCACAAGTTTACCCAACTTTAACCACTTCTGCTTGTGAGATCCTCTGAAATGTGAAAAAGGTCCATATGAGTCATTAAAATGTTTCATAAAGTGTGTGTGTGTGTGTGGCAGGTTCTTACAGTGCCTGGACTGGACTTACCCATGGCAGCCAAGTTCACCGTACAGTGGAGCTGATGAGAAATCTCTGCTGTGTAAATGTTCTGTGCTTCGTGTAATGTGAATTGCTTTGGTCTTCCAAATGCATAAATGTAACAATGCTCAGTATGTCATTTTTTAAATAAAGGTTTATTTTAAATGTCAGAGAAATAATACAATTATTATTGTTATTGTTGTTGGTGGTGGTGTTTATTATTATTGTAAAAGTTGTTAAGAGTATAGAAATAGCTAATGCTTATGGTATATTTTTAAATGAAGCTTAGGTTAAATGTAATTATAAAATAATATATGATATGGGATTTGACACTGCAATTAAATGTTTTCTATTCTTACCATTTGTCAGTATTTAAGTTCCTTTTTTTTGTATTATCCATATGTGGTTAATTTTTTACACTTTTTAAATGCTAATCATAAAACTTTAACCAAAGAAACGTGTTTAGTTGTGTTTTCTGTGCTCATTATGACTGCATGAACAGTGTCCTGCCCGTGCCGCGCGCGTTGCGTTCAGAGGAAGCGCAGTGTTGTTCCGGAAGCAACGGAATTCCAGTGGGCGGGGCTTCAGTCTGTCGTCAACGAAGGCGTGCAGAGTGAAGAGTGTCACCGACAAACATACGCGTCATTCAGTGTAGCCTGGATCTTTAATGCAGGAGCCGGACGCGCCACTTCTGATATGGACGTGTAGCGACGGTTGTTATCGTTTCTGGTACTGAAGGTAAGACTGCAGCGTGTATGATTTTCGATTACAAATTCATCCTTACGGCTGTCATTATTGGAAGTAGTTTAGTTAGCGTCCCATATGGGGTACAGCAGTGCATATGTGTCTATTATAGCAGATATAACGGGACCCCATCGCGACTTCCATCTGAAATGAGCCCTCATATGCGATTTGTCATCCTTAGTGGGACGAAAGGGCTTGTCCATTAAAATACAATATTGATATTGGTCAATCAACCTGCTGAAACAGGCCTGGGAACACATGTCTGTTCTTATTATGTGTCTGGTGTAGTTTTGTTGGATATCTCTTGATGTATTATTTATCTACTGTACTGCTCATTTTATTTTTTTCTGAAGACTTGTAACTTTGTACTTTGATATTAGAATTATGCCTTTGCCCCAATAAATTATATTATGACGTTTAAAGGCACTTATTAAGGAAATCAAATTCTGCCATTCACTCACCTGTTATTCCAAACCCATGCAGAGCATAAAAAGAGGTCCAACTTTATATTAGTTGCATTTAACGATTATTTATTTACATAAAAAAAAATAAGTTGTTCAATACAATGTGTTTGTATTGCAGAACACTTTTGCTGCTATTGAGTTGGGATACAGGTAAGGCTAGGGACAACTTTGGTGGTAAGGTTAGGTTAGGTTTAAGGGAAGGGTCAACATTGGGATTACAGATGTATTTAAACAAAATAATTACAGCTGTAATAACATGTAGGTATAATGTAAATGTACATGAATCTGCACAGTAAGTGCATGTATCAAATTATTAAATGTTGCATAGTTGTCAAAGAAACTAGCAAAAAGGAGATGTATTCAAAAATGTTCTGTTATACTTCATTTAGCAAAAGCATATAGGATCAGGGGCCGTCAAATTCTAAAAAAAGGACTAAAATGAAAAATAGAAAATAGCCTTGTGAACAGGAACAGACAAATTCTTCCTGTTTTTCTCTAAAAAACTAATAGACCTCATTGCATGACAGTCAAATTGCAAGTTAATTTGACAGCTTTTTGGCACCTTCAGTTCAAGAAAGAAAAATATTGTTTGAAAATGTGTTTGGCTTTAAGGTTTTGTCCTATTATCTCCATTTAGTTAATGTTATTATATGCTGCTTAGTCAGTGATGGAACCGATAAAGGTAACGTCCATCTGATATCATCATTTTGCGAAATTATGAAATAAAAAGCAACCAAATCTGCTGCCATTTTCATGGAAGCTTGTTTCCACCACCTACTAACAACAACAAAAGTTGTTGTGAGTGACTTTTCATCTTACAATTCAGAATTTTTGGACTTTTTTTCTCACAAGTTTTTTTTTCTCAGAATTGTGAAATATAAACTCAAAATAGCTAGGAGGTAAATTGCGATGACTTTTTCTGAGACAAAAAGTCCAAATTGTGATATAAGCTCACGATTGCGGAAAAAAACAAGCCAGTATTGTGAAATAGTTTCAATTGCCATTTTAGTTTTTTATTCTGTGGCGAAAACAAAAGAATCTGAAGGTGCAAGGTGCACATTTTCACAATTGTGAGAAAAAAAGTCAGAATTGTGAGATAAAAAGTCTTAATGACCTTTTTTTAAACATTTTTTACTGAATTAAAAAAAATCTAAATTCAAAAATGTGAACTCACAATTCTGAGAAAAAAGTCAGAATTGCAGGATGTAAACTGGCAATTACGAGTTTAGCAGTTGCGAGATATAAACTAATATATAAACTGAATATAGAATTGCAAGGTGTTAACTCGCAACATAGCGAGATGTTAACTGAGACCAAAAGTCCAAATTGTGAGAAAACAAGTCAAAATGCTGATATAAGTCGCAATTACCGTATCATTATTATTTTTCTTCTGTGGCGGAAATAAAAAAATCAGAATTGCGAAATGTTAACTTCCGAGAAAAAAAGTCAGAATTGTGAGGGAAAAAAAAATTGTAAGCAGAAAAAGTTTCTATAATTTCTGATATGCATCGGCTGATTTATTGAAAAATAGCTTGTGCTCAATAAGTGTTATGTCATATCTTGCCTAGTGCGGGAGGGAATTTCTCTTTTTGGGTGAGTTATGATTTAGGAGTATTATTGTGCATTTCATTTGGGCCGATTTGAAAGCAAGACACCAAATGAAATTCTGTGTAGATTTTGAAGTGCATTCCTGGTGACTCTGTTGTATTGAGCTTGAGATTGCAGCAGTGCTGACAGCTCCGAGGAGAAACAACACATGCTTCTACTAGTGACACTCTTCTTTGTACACTCATGATACTAGTACACAATCCCTTTCTCCTGATTTGGCCTGCATGTCTAGTAGTCCAGTGCCATAATGTGCCATGTTTATTCACTAGAGTCGTGTTTGCACTGTAATTAAAGCCATATGATATGCAGCCATGAATCCACCTGAATAGTCCCTGCCAAAATACAGGATAATTGAACTCGTCTTAAGCTTTCTGGACAAACTTGTTTTTTCCTTAATTTCCCAGAAATTGCCTTATCACTAGTTTGGTTCTCTTGGTGCGCTCATGTATAAAATGATGCATTTAGTCCTGGTTCGCTTAGCACGCACACTGTCATTTTTGACACCGAGCCTATAATATAAAACAAAATAAGAATAAGGTCACAACCTGATTGGACCGATTTAATGACTTATGTTTAAGATGGAACTTACTAAACATCGAAAATAATGCTAGGCTAAATGTGCTTGTTGAACGCATGGTGGTATTTTTACCAGCTGAGAAACACTTATGAATTGTGTAAACGAGTCAAAACCGTACCAGGAATTTCTCAGTTGCCCACAAACGAAGATCTGCTGCAAGGAAATGGCGGTTCTGACGCCTGTACTAAAATGTAATGGGCAGCTACTATGACGAGAAGAACCAAGTGTGCTTGAGCAGTCCGTCCGGTCGCATCTTGTGACATCACATCCAGTTTTTAGTTTGTTTAGATGTCTATGGGCCTGTCCAGATACCCGCACTTGCCATCTTTGCACTTGACCATTTGCAAATTTCCATATTTTCCATGACATATTTGGCCTGTGTTCAAGCAGGCATGAAGACCGTAAGTGTATGTAGAACTTTTGAATATCCGAAGGGACTATGAACATTTTGACCAATAACCGATAATTCTTTATACTTGAAAGCCGATAATCGATATATTGGTCGATAAATCTAAATCCAAATTTTTATCTAATTATTGAGAGCCTGATGATTACAAAAACAAAATTCTCACCATTAAAAGCCCATGTCCCAAGCACACAACTATAATGTTCTCATTACAATCTAATGTAGCCTTTATTTTTATTTTTCAAGTGATTTCAGTCATATTTCAAACAATCTTCACCATCATGGTGAAGAACAGCGCACATCTGAAGAGTCTCAGCTGAAGGAAATAATCCATCATTCAACTGCTTTAATATATCAAATTTTCTTATTGGGACTATAACGATAACATTAAAAGTGAACATGTAACGGCCGATACTGATGTAGTGTGTCCGATATATCGTGCACTGAGCTTTGGCGATTTTAAGACCTGGGACAGTCTTTCACACTTACTTCCTGTTGGGTCTATGCATTCTCAATTGTGTGTATTTGGACAGGCCCTTTGGTCACATTCATATTTCAGTTGACCCGCACCAATGTTCAGTGGAAATGTGAAAATTTGTGTCTAAGCCCGCTTCCAAACGAACTCTGGTGCGATTTGACTAAAATATGAACGCAACTACATGAACCAAAGAGACTTGTCCAAAGCCACACTTGTTTGGTGCGCACCAATGAACCGCACAAAGCAATCGCACCAGAGTTTGTTTTACTCTAACCAAACCTGCCAAGTGTGTAGGCAAATTTGTTCATTTGCTTTATCAAGGTTTGAGTTTTTCTTCTCTGCAGTTTTCACTGGTTGCTTAATTTGTCTCTTCTGCCTATTTTATGCTTCATAAGTTTCTCACCATTCGAAACTAGCTAGATGAGATTTTAGCTTCTCATATACTTTGGTTTTGTGGCAGGATGTTGAACTCTAATCAGCACAAATAAGCACTGCCTTTCCGGTAGAGGAAGAGCTGGGTAAATAAAGACGGAAAAAAGGAGATCACAAGACAGAAGAGGAAGATCAAGAAAGTCATGAGTGATGGATTACTCTGAATGTTGCATAATTTGTTTTTGAGTAGTTGACCTCTCTATTTTTTGTTTTGTTTTAGCTTTGAAAGTTTGAATCACTTTTTAATCACCTTTTGCGATGCAATTAAACAGTCCTGCAGCATGACAAATAACATTTTTATTGTATTTTTACATTCGTGAATAGTAGGTGCTAAGATGTTCTAGTTTTTAATGCATCGCCATACTAGATTGTTCCAGGTTGGGGAGCTGATCGCTTTGAAAAGTATTTGAAGAACCGTGCAACTCTGAAGCACAAAAAGATGCAGGATCTTTTACTAGTAGCTCAAATTATTCAATATAGTCTCTCAGTCTCAGTTAACATGGTCATAAAAGTGTATAGTTATGCAAGAATTGGCTGTAGTGTCTAAAGTTTAGGTGTGGTATAGCATTTTGCCATAGTGAAGTTGCCATTTTCTTAAATAGCTTGTTGGATTTTGAACATAAGACTGTGGAAGTGTCTGGTTTTATAAAGTTTGTTATTTCTTATAACATTTGGTAACTTTCGCTTCCGTCTGTTGAACGGATAACAGGCTGTAGCTTTGGGTTCCTCCGGTGAGTTGGCACATTTGTGTGTTTGTTTTAAGGTGTGTCTATGTGTGACTTTGTCACAACTAACCATGCAGTTTCAATAAGGTGACATTATTCATATTGTTATGATAAGATCATCATTTCACTTTATACATCTGTTTGATCATCAGTATCTTATGGTCTCAAATAATTCAATACCTACCTAAATGGCAGTGACGTAATTGATGCTGGTAGATCACGTGACTATATATGAATTTCATTATATTACTACTATATAAAACATACTTTTTTTAAAGACCTTGCAGTAAATTCCAATTCAAAATCAAATGTAGTATACTCGTATAGTATGTGATTTTGGACGCACATACTGTAAATATTTAATAAATAAACTCTTCTATGGTGTGCAAAAGTTACCACCCCCAAGTCTCTATGATATTCTGGTTTCTAAATCACTCTCATTTTATTGTTTTTATTGTTCAGCGAGTGAAAATGTCTGATTGCTTGGAAAATGAACTAGCACTGTTTTCTTTGTGTTGCTGTGTCAGAGGATGGGAGCAGTGAGCGCTCACTGGAGGAGATGTCATTCGGTCGACTCCTGCGACGTGCATCATCCAAAGCCTCGGACTTTTTGACGTTTAACGTGGGCACGGGGGGATCACGGACCGTGCTGGATGGAGAGATCATCTTCTCCAAGAACAATGTGTGTGTGCACCCGGCCGAGCCCCTGCCTGGACTGCCTGAACATCACCCAGGTACCACACACACACACACCCATAATCTACTATACACCTGTTTATAAATTATGGTCATATTCAATTAAATTCAAATTTATTTGTATAGTGCTTTTCACAATACATATTGTTTCAAAGCAGCTTTACAGAAAGTGCATTTCAGAATGATCATTAATGTTTTGCCATTGTATGCCATAAGCTTCATCAAAAGTGTCTTTATGAATTAATTTATTAAAAGTTACATTATTTTTGATATTGTTGAGCGATGTTTTGATGCAGAACTGTTTAAAAGTTTGGGATTGACATGATTTTTAAAAATGTTTTTGAACGAAGTCTCATGCTCACCAAGGCTGCATTTATTTGATCAGAATTACTGTAAAAACTTAATCTAGTATATTTTAAAATGTTTTATTTTTTATTTCAGTAAAATTTTAAAAATGTATTCTTGTGATCAGTTTTCAGCACAATTACTCAGTCTTCAGTGTCACATGATCCTTCAGAAATCATAATAATATGCTGATTTGGTGTTCAAGAAACATTTCTGATTATTATCAATGTTGAAAATAGTTTTGCTGCTTAAAATTTATTGTGGAAACCGTAATACTTTTTTTCAGGATTCTTTGTTGAATAGAAAGTTCAAAAGAACAGTGTTGATTTAAAACAGAAATCTTTTTTTAACACCATAAATAATTTTTCTGTCACTTTTGATAAATGTAATGTGGCCTTGCTGAGTAAAGTGGGCTATTAATTTAGAAGTAAATAAACAGGTGTAAAATTACAGAACCAATTTTGCTTTTCACTGTTATTGTCTCTAATTGTGTCTAATTTAGAAATGTGTTTACAGTGTTAATCTAGACTGAATTTAATCTTTTAAATAAAAAAAATAAATATATGTGAAATATTTTATATCTTTTTTTCTTAAAAAAATAGAGTTATTTTGCTCTAGACCTGTACATTCACTGTCTTTTTCTTTTTTGCAATTGTATTAATATTTATTTTTTATGTTAATTTTTAAAATAATAGTGTTGCAGTGTTGCTCTGCTGGTGGATGTCTAGTTAAAAAGTAGCCTTGCTTAAACATGCTTCAAATAAAACTCTTGCAGAGATCTGATGCATCTAATAATCCCAGCACACCGTGACCCAACAAGTTGCATGAAGTCAGCCAATCAGCTTAGAGCCTGCCAGATTGAGAGTTTTTTTCTTCTTCTGACTGTGTCTTCTTTCAGGTTACCTGTGTGTGCACCTGGAGAAGGACGAGACCCTCGGCTCCACCCTCATCCTCACCTGGGTGCCCAACTCTCGCATCCAGCGGCAGGACGAAGAGGCGCTCCGTTACATCACGCCCGAAAGCTCACCTGTCCATCGCAACCCCCGACGCCGAGCCCACCGGAGCCACTCTCGCCCGCCGCCCGCCCCTGAGGAGGAGGAGGACGAAGAGCCGGCTTTACAGAACCAGCAGCTTTTGGAAGAGGGCGATGAAGGCTCCTGCGAGCTCTCTGCGGACGAGGTGAGTCGCGACAGCACCCTCGGCTCGGACTCGGACACCTTCTCCTCGCCCTTCTGCCTGTCTCCGGTCAGCGAGGCTCTGGGCGAGAGCAGCAGCTCGGTCTTCCTTGATAATGAGAGCAGGTGAGAAAACATACACATGCAGAAATACTTTTATGCATCAACAACGCAGAATTGTTTTTTTTTAATTAAAACAAAACATAACATCTTACTGACCCCTGACATATACCATTATAATTTGACAGAAACTGCAATTTGAATGTCCTGTAACTCCTTTATTTTTTATTACGATTATTAATTTGTGATCTTAAATTATAATATCTTTTTATCTTACCAGAACATGTAACACTTTGAGTTGAAGTTGCGTGTGAGGTGTTGAATTGCACCAGGTGTGTTCAGTGGATGTTAGATGTTAGCATGCGTGTGTCATGCTGCTGCAGGTCTGTGTGTAGTAAGAGGAGCTGCTCAGAGCTTATTCATAATTCATAGATCAGCTCAGCATGACTTATTACATTTTTCAGTACAGCATCATGTGTTTCTGCTCTGAACCTCTTCAGCATCCTGTGATCACCCATAAGTGTTACCAGAGATTTAATGATATAATGCTTTTGTTGTCAACAGTTTTTAACTGTTTTTGTAATGGAAAACCAGCATGATTATTACTGATTAGTATATGCGGCATGAAATTTAAAAAAAAAAGTATGTGGAATGACACATTATGCTGGAAGAAGTATGTTTTAAGACAAAATATTTATATTTGCTAACCAGAAGTAAATATATTTTTTAAATATATATTTTTAAAAAGTGCACAGAAATAATTATATTATTATTTACAGTAAAAAACAGTATGGATTTTCCTTCAAATTGTATTATATTTTATTGAAATAGCTATGTTTATTTTATTTATTTATTCATTATGTTTTATATATATATATATATATATATATATACATGAAATACGGTAAAATAAACATAGTTATTTAAATAAAATGTAATCAAATTTATATTATATAATAAAAAATAATATATATATATATATATATACACACATATATTTTATTTTTTACATTTAAATATTAATATATTTAAATACTTAAATATTGAAATATTTTATATTTAAATAGCTATGTTTATTTTACCATATTTTATGTATATATACACAGTATATATATAGCTATTTAAACATTGCTATTTAAATAAAATGTAATCAAATTTATATTATATAATAAAAAAATAAAATTTTTGATTACATTTTATTTTATATTATATAATAAAAAAAAAATATATATATATATATATAATTTTATTTTTTATTATATAATATACATTTGATTACATTTTATTTAAATAGCTATGCTTATTTTACTGTATTTTATGTTTATAACATAATGAATAAATAAATAAAATAAACATAGCTATTTCAATAAAATATAATAACATTTGCAGGGAAATCCTGCTTTTTCACTGTAAATAATAATATAATTCTTTCTGTGCACTTTTTAAAACTTTTATATTTAAATGTTATGCTCTGAATGTAATACACTGAATACTATATACTTGTAATGCTCCACTGTGACCACATGGAGGAGACATTACTGGGTGATATGCATGAGAGAGAGAGAGCGTTTCAGAAGTGCAGGTTGGCAGGGAGAGATATCTCAGTCTGCGATGGTCGACAGATTCCCTCCCCCTGCTGCTTCATCTAGCATTCCCTCTTTCACCATGATTTCCTCCCTTTGTTATTTGGCCTCAGCTGCGGGGGTGAGGCCGGGACATGAGCTGCCCATCGGATCATAAATATCAGTTTGTGTTTGATTTGAGACTGTGATGGACTGCTTTATTCCTCTGCGTTCCTTTGGGAGGAGAACGTTCTCTTTGGCCGGTTTTTTGCCATTCATTTTCTGGCTTCCACTTCCTCTTTGGATCCTTTATGTTTATATTTGCCTGTTTCTGGCATCTCTTTTATTCTGCCTGTAGGGTTCTTCCTCCTCTTTCTCACTCTAACTTGCGAGTTTCATACTAGATGTTTTGTTTCCCTTCTTCTTTGTTGTTTTTTCTCCCTTGTCATGGTTTGGCTCGCTCAGTATAGGATTTAGGAATAAAGAAATCATGAATGAATCTTTGAGATCTGTTCCACATTTGTAGTGTTCTGGCCATTTTCCACCCTGTCTCTGATTTTTATCTAACACTGGCTGTTTTTCAATATGTAAATGACCTCTGTTATGATTGGCTAGCCTCTTATTATGTGAGGACAGAATCCGCACTAAGTTGCTGAATGCTGATTTTCATTGTAAACATTGTAAACATGATCAAATGTCACGGGTCTGTCAATGCTATGGTCATTTCTAAATTACCTGATTTATTTATATATTTGTTTACAGTATTTCAGTGTCTACTTAGTACATCAAACTCTTTCGTTTCATTAGAGAAAGAAACCCCCTGGTTTGAGAGACAGAAAAGCTGGAAGTGAAATCAGTCTGTGCGGATGGCAGAGGTATAAACGCTCTAGATCCTGAGAGGTGATGTTTTGCTGAGGATGATGTAATTGTAATGTGTTAACTGTGTTGGACCGCTCTGGCTCTGGGGGAATTTGTTTGAGAATGATGTAATAAATAGTCCCTGAGGGGTAGTGCCTGTCCCAGTGGGAGTTCAGTGCCTGGAAAAACTTCCCTGAAGTCGCACTGGTACTGATTCACCGTTAGCGGTTATTACAAAGATGGATTGATGGTTAGTTGGATCTCTATCTAACATAAATGTATCATTTCCCTCCTATTCCTATAACAATCCATTCATCTATCAAACTATCTAAATAATCAACTAACTAACTTCTATCAATCAAGTTCGGTTTGTTTAGTTTTCTCATGTCTCTCCTGTTCCTATAACTAACACCTATATGGATATCCATCTAACTAACCAATCAATAAGCTAATTTATATCTACAAATGTAGTTTGTATGGTTTAGTTACCTTATTTTCTCTTGTTTATCCCTTTACTTACAAGCATTTATGTGGCAATTCATCCAAATCAATCAACCAATAAACTTCCATATAGTGATAGATAGATAGATAGATAGATAGATAGATAGATAGATAGATAGATAGATAGATAGATAGATAGATAGATAGATAGATAGATAGATAGATAGATAGATGCTATGGATGGATGGATGGATGGATGGATGGATGGATAGATGGATGGATAGATGCTATACCTACAGAACTACGTATAGATGGATGTATAGATGGATGGATGGATGGATGGATGGATGGATGGATAGATAGATAGAGTTTGGGTTACTATGTTTTTCTCTCTCCCAAACCAATGTTTATGGGCATATCGTCAATCTATCCACAAGTTTCCGAGGGGCGCTCATGTAAAAAATAAAGTGGGTGAAACTTCCGGTGAGGCGGCGGAAGTAGCATTCCAATGGTATTTTGTGTGTTAGTTAGCGAAGAGGCTAGCTGTTTTTCGGAGAATTATTTTACTATTTAAAGACGCAAATCTTTGTGAGAGATGTCGTTACGGAGCTCAGGGACAACATGTGCTGTTCGCGGTTGTATGTATAACCGGACTAAACTAATTCAGTGGCTTAAACGGGATTGTTTTGAACATAAGCTGAAAACGAAATCACAGTGATCCTACCAACGACTGAAGTTTCCATCAACCTCCCAAAAGACAACGAATCATCCTGTGTACATTTGTTTAAAATCTTAATATTCTATAAACTCTATCAGCATGTGTTTGGCTGTTCGCTACTGATGTTACACCTAAACTCAGGATCAAAGCCTGTGTTGACAGAACACCAAATGTTCCAGTTAATGTATTCAAGTAGCACATTCATTTATAATTTTGAATAAACTCCAAAGCACAATGACTAAGTGTGTATTTTTTATTTTAATTGTTTGTCAGCTCGCACAACTGTCTGTCACCATGCCTTGATGAGTATTGATTATTAATAATGTTATTATAATACTCCCAATCAACGACTGCGGAGGGTAAAGGTACTGTTATTTCACCTTTTTTAATTTCGTTGAGGTTGTGTTCCCACATTGTTAGCTAGTTTGGATCGCTATAACTTGAATGACTGTCAACTGTTGAATGAACGAGTGTCAAGCATGTCAAGTAGCGCATTGTTTACTTCAAACCGGAAGTCGCGCCCACTTTTGACGCAAGGCCTCATGGGGCGTAGGAAACTTGTGGATTCAACTAACTGACTAGTGAACTCACTTCTATCTTTCCATAGTTGGCAAGCTTAGTTTAGTTACCTTAATTTCTTATGTTTCTTAATTACTATTGATGTGGTTATCTATCTATCCAACTATCTAAACATTCAACCAACTACTGTAGCTTCTATCTGTCCATCTAGTTGGTTGGTTTAGTTAATTCACCTTATTTTGTCCTCTTTCTCCTGTTCCTTACTAACATATATCTATGAGGCTATCCATCCTTCCATCTATCTATCCAACTAACCAATTAACCAACTCACTTCTATCATCTACTTGGTTCAGTTACCTTTTTTTTACCGTTTCTCTTGTTCCTTAGTATCATCCATATAGGTATACATCCATCTGTCCTAACTATTCAACCAACCAACAAATTCCTACCTGTCCATGTAGTTGGTTAGTTCAGTTTATCCACCTTATTTTCTCCTGTTTGTAAAGCCACTGAGGCTCATAGAGTAGAAAACACAAGTCTGTAAAGAACATGAGATGTAACTTTGCACCGTGTGCTCTCTGTCACGGCCTCAGCTCGCCATATGGCCTCGTGTGTGTGATCCTGCTGTACTGTGGACTCTGAAAGACCTCTCAAATATCACATGACCCATAAACCTTCGACTCCCAGAGTGGATCAATGACAGGGGACGTGTCTGGAGGTGCGCTTGGACTGTTAGACGTGCTCTGTTAGAGAAAAAGACGAGCGTGAGAGAGATGCAGAGGTCCCACGGTTCGGGTTACAGCCCTGGCTACAGCAAGAGGTCGAGAGACAGTTACAGAGAGATTCACACAGCAAGAGAGAGAGAGAGAAGAGTGCTGTTTGGGGAAATTGGCTGCCAGGCTGCTTGATTTGTGTCTCTGCTTGGCTCCTGCCAGCACAATAACCTCCCAGCATTCCTCTCATTCCTCTTCACTTCCAGTGTCCTTACACACACATACACACGATTCCATATACCTACAGCTGTCGTTGAATTTCACACTGAAAACTCAACGGCAGAACGGATGAATTCGTTCGCAGATTTACAATAGAGAGAGCAGCTGAATTAAGCTGTCACGTGGAGCTCATCGAAAAAGGTTTTAGATAGTTTACACTTAATTAACTTGATAGAAAACGTTAATCAAACGAAAATAGCTGTATTTTACATGTATTTTATTAATAGAATATAAAGAGCATGTTAGTGCATATATATATATACACTATTTTTTTTGTCTTTTAAAGGCAACATGAAATTATAATTAATCAAATTACATTATATGTGCATAATTCAGTGTTATTTTAAAGGAAAAAGCTTTTGTTTTTCATCAAAATGTACATATTTCACATCTGAAATGACTTTGCTTGGTGCCATCTGCACATCTTTGGGTCATAGTTATAGCCAAATAGCCATTTAGGTTTTGTGTTAATAAATTGTCAGTCAATTCGAACTCGATTCTTGCATATACTGTAATGCATTTTCAAAATTCAATTCCCAATGGATCTTTTTTCTGTCTCTGTTTTATTCAGGAATGCATTTCAAGAGTTAAATGTCTGCTAGTGGCATTTGTTTTTTTATTTTAATTTTTTCTGCGGTGCAATGGACACCTACTGTTATTGTAAAAATAATAATAGATAATTGTTAATATAAACAGATATTATAACACCATTATTTCCAGGGAGTGCGATGAACCCATGGCTCACTCGGCAAGCTCCGCCTCCAGCCTGGACAGTCACGCCCCCTCCGACATCAGCCAATCACAGGGAGTTCGGTGGGAGGAGCAGCAGAAAGTCATGGCGTTAGAGCACCTGTGTGGGGTGTTCAGAGTTGACCTGGGTCACATGAGGTCACTGCGTCTGTTCTTCAGGTCAGACAATTTTGATTTAAAAATATATATATATATTTTAAATGTTTCCTATTTATTTGTGCTTTCTGAAATGTATATCACTAAATATAATAGTCTCTAGCTTTTTTATTGTTGTATTTTCGACTGTTGTGTTAAATCTTTTTCATAAAGCTCTGTCTGTGTAATGAAACGCCTCATATATTTAATTCACCTCCTTGTATTATAACTGTTCTCATTTTAGGGAATTTAGTTAGATATTACTGCAAGTTATACATCATTATTCCTTAACCTCAGGCTGATTTTGTTCTAGATATTAAAGTATTTCTGAGGTGTGAATAAAAATCTAATTTTTCTGTGGTTTATGGAAAATATGCTTTTATAGTCCTTTTATGAAGAGGAAATTCAATATAACAAATATGGTTACCAAATAAAAATCATTAAAAAAGAAAAAGAGAAATCACCATAAAGGTACTCACAGAAACAGCACATCCTGGTCCTTTAGTGAACTGGTATCACTGTTTATTTTTCTCTTAATCTCCTGGAGTCTTGTGTCCAGACCAGCCTTATGAGAGTGCTTGTTTTTCATGTGTGTGTGTGTGTTTGTTTCAGCGATGAGGCCTGTACCTGTGGGCAGCTGGTCATCGCCAGCAGAGAGAGCCAGTATAAGATCCTTCACTTCCACCATGCGGGGCTGGATAAACTGGCCGAGGTGTTTCAGCAGTGGAAATGCTGCAGGGAGACACAGCTCAAAGACCAGGTTTGAACAAACACGCATCATTTGAACAGCAAAAACTCTGCTGTTAAATGAATTCTCCTGTGTTCAAGTGTGTTCAAGTTAATGAGCTAATTAAGTGATTCATTGAGTGATGATTGGCCATTATTGAAGACACCTGATGTTAACAAGCAGAATCACTGATGAAGAAAATCTAGTTTTTAAGACACCATTATGGTGATCAGTGTTTGCTTTCATTGGCTCTTAAACTCTAACACATTCTCATTTACAGTAAACTAACATTCAACAGGTTTTTGAAAGAAGTCTCAATCCTCACCAATGCAGTAAAATCAAATAAAAGCAAAATACAGTAAAATAAATAATATTGTGAAGTGTTTTATATATGAATATATTTTCAAATGGAATTTACTTCTGATGACAAAGCTGAATTTTCAGCATCATTACTCCAGTCTACAGTGTCACATGATCCTTCAGTAATCATTCTGATATGATGATTTGATGCTTAAGAAACATTTATTATTATTATCAATGTTAAAAACAGTGGTGCTACTTCATATTTTTGTGGGAACAGTGATACATTTTTCAGGATTCATTTGATAAATCTTTTGCTAAATTTAATGCAACCTTTCTGAAAAAAAATCTGTAATGTTTCTTGGCAGTTGTTGGTTTAAATTAAAATAGTTAAGTAAGTTATTGTTAAATTAATCATTAAATAAAATTAAAATTGTTGTGATTATTTAAAAAGTAATTAATCAATTAAGAATGAATATGGCCAATCACATTTAATTTCTATAATATGGTGGGAAATTATTTATTTTTTAATCAATTTGTTATTGGTTTTAAAGGTCAGTGATCGATTTTATCATAAAAACCACGACTATACTATTCATTAATAATATATTCACAATTAATTATTAATAGCAATATTTGCATATTACATAATTTGTGTATTATTAAGCCTAGTTATGCCTTCTCGCTGCTGAAGAAACAATTGTTCAAACAAATCAATAATGTGAATAAGACTATAGGGACATTTATTCAGAAGGTTAATTGGCTTCATTTTGAATTCATGTTGTCGTAGCCCTCAAACCGTATTCACTTTATAGCCCTTAATCCTCTAATTGTGGACAAATGTGGGCACAGAGGACTCGGGTGTGATCCTAATTTTTTTTATTTATTATAAATGTTATATCACTGTCTTCGATAAAGTTTTGTCTATCCATTTTTTGTGTTTTTTTTTTATTTTGGGGGTATTTTTGAATTTATTTTAAAAAAGTACCATATTTTCTATGCAAATTATTTCTATGTAAATGAATTACTATGTAGTTTTATTTTTTAATTTTTTTTTAACTACATTAAAATATCATTCCAATAAGTTCTTAGAGCTAAAACATAAAGATGCTGTCACCTGGTGTCTGATTTTAGAATACTCTAAATTACAGTTTTTCCCATTCATTTCTATGCCCATTTTTTACCCAAATACAAGATTAAGGAGTTTCTTTTCACCCTCTTAACATTGTAGAATTGAGTCTGAAAAAATTGTGTGTTCAGGAGGCAAACGTAGGAAAAGTAGCCAAGTCTTGTACCGCTCAGATCAAGGGAAGTATTTTTTAAAAAAATAAATCAAAACTATTTTGCCCACATTTGTCCAGAATATGGTTTTAGGGTTAAAAGTTACACATTTAGTTTGAAATATGAACATAAGTGTATTAATTCTACACATTTTCTCTCCTGATCTTCCTCTTCCCGCTCCAGGTGTCGGATGAGAAGTCGTGCATGCAGTTTTCTATCCGTAGACCCACGTTACCGTCTGCCGAGATGCACCCAGAGGAGCGCCTGTATCGGCGGCTGGACGTCAGCTCTTGGCTCCGGCATCTGAACAACAGTGGCCAGGTGGTGGAGGACTACAAGCTCAGGAAGGTCAGACTGACTGACAGCTGTCAGTCAACATTACTTGTCTAAGTTGCTCTTTTCAGCTATGTTCAATTGGAATGGCATTATGGCTCGTGTGTGGATCACGTTTAGAGGTTCTGTTTAATTCTGACGGGCATTTCTATCAGGCGATCTTCTTCGGGGGCATCGATCCGTCCATCCGTGGCGAGGTGTGGCCCTTCCTGCTGCACTACTACAGCTACGACTCGTCCTCTGAGGAGCGGGAAGCCTGGAGACTGCAGAAGCGTGTGGAGTACCAGGAGATCCAGCAGAGGAGGTTAGTGCTGCTTAGACTACACTCTATATATAGAACATTAAAGAGTTCAGTCTTCCCTCAACACTGTCTTGTGTCCCTCCTCGAACCGCTTTTTTGTTTACGGACAGGAAATATCGGTTCACCTCCGGCCCTAAATACTTCATTGCTCTTTATATTTGAATGAATAAATCTGTGCCTAAAATTAAAGCTCGCCAAGCACCAAATGCGAGTAACATCGGCCTGTAACATTTTTATTGGGATTGTTAACGTGCCAGTGCCGCATCATTTCAAAGGTTTAAGCCTTGCTGATTTAAATATTTGAGGGCGTTTAGTTTTCGGAAGTTCGGAAGCTGTGTGCAAACAGAAAAGCTCCATTTAACATTGGAACAGACATTTCCGTACAAAATTATGTCAAAAAAATGCCCATCTCTGGTAAACATTTGAGAAAGATAACACGTGTTCATCGTCTGGTGTCATTTAAAGCCCTTTGAAGCTGCACTGAAACTCTAATTTGGACCTTGAACCGTTTGGTTCCCAATGAAGTCCATTGTATGGAGAAAATCATGGAATGTTTTCATCAAAAACCTTCATTTCTTTTCGACTAAAGAAAGAAAGAGATGGACATCTTGGATGACATGGGTCATGTCAAAGTTTTTTTTTTAAAGTGAACTACTCCTTTAATGTAAAACCTCTTTCTTGTACTCTTCAGGGTATTAACTGTTCATCAAGGAGAATGGGGACTTCTAGTTGCTATCTCCCGTCTGACTTTTGATGACCTACAGTATGCGATACACCCAGTTGTTAGATTGCTCACTTTTGTTTAAATTGGCTGGCTGTTGTTTACAAAATGTGATATTTCTGGAGTCTGAAACTGGAGACTTTCTATGTAAACTGAGCTGCTGTGACCCATCAGGCCAGCTAATCCTGAAGCTTTTCTAGTTAGCTAGATTGTGTTTGGGTTTGTGGTTGGTGAATCATTCATAGCCTCGGCATGAAATCAGTGTAGCCGTGGCTTTAGTACACCTTTAAACCACTTGCTTTTGTTCTCAGTCGTATCTCTGCTCTAATCAGATGAAAACGTTTAGCTATTAAGCATTATTTGGCTGCATATAGTCACTTTTGGTATTGCAATAACCAGAATTGCTCAAATTGTTAACATATGTCCTGGCAACAAATGTCATGTTTTCCCACTTAAATATAGGAATCGCTGAACAACTACATTTATGACAGTACATGGTCATTTGACAGTGATTATTACTTTATATTTTGTCTTTTTTTTATATACAGCAAGTTTTTACGTCCACTGTGTGCCTCTGGAGGATTTTCTGGCAGCTGTGGTGTCAACCGAGCCATAACCAGTCAATAACTGTGTGCTGATGTATGCAGTCTGTGGCTTAATGTGCTTCAGAGGAAATAATTAACTCGATCAATTAAATCATTGTCATGCCATTGATAGACCGTTTATACTTGTGTTTCAGATTAAAGCACATTTTCATTCTTTATTTCTAGCACAGCTGACGTATATAAATACTACAGCACTTTAAAATATTATTTCATTATTAAAAATGTAAAAATAAATCACTAAATAAAATACACTTTTTAGCTGTCATTCAGTCACAAAGATGATTGTGTACGTGTGTCTATAATAGATATGTAACATTCTTTGTTATTGACTGTTAGCTAAAGCAAATTAAATATGAGATATATGTGTGTGTGTGTGTGTGTTTTACAATATTATTTGAAATATTGTAAAATATAATATATTTATATAACAAAAGATTTGTAAAAAGTAAAAATATGTACAACTTGTAAAACAGGATTTTGAATGTTCTTATTGTTGAATTGTAGGAATGAATGCAATAATGTCAACACTCTTATTCTCTTGTAGTGATTATTTTTGTAGATATTTTAATAATTAATTGTGTGTGTGTGTGTGTGTGTGTGTGTGTGCATGGGTGTGTATGTGTGGTTGTGCAGTGAGCGCTAAGCCTCAAGAGGCCAGAGGGGGAGTCAGAGAGCGATGTGGGAATTGTTCATACAAACACAGGTCTCGAAACACTTACATGAAGTTGCATCAGGTCTGGCATCAATTCCAGCAAAACAAACAGTGTTAATGAAATCCCACCTGCTTGTTATGAGAATGTCTATAGCCAGAGGGACCGCTGTGTTTCAGGACGGGAATGTTTTCACGTCAGACACGGTGCTTGATGTTCTGTTCTGTTCTGTTCTGTCCCCCTTTTCCCTGTTCTTTTTTTCCTTCACTTTTTTTTACTTTTTCATTTAGTTTTTTTTTCTGTTGTGAGTCACTTCTCTAGTCTTGCATCGACTCTTCAGAACTGCCCTATTTATTCCTTTTTTTTTTTTTTTTGTAGTGGTTGAACTTTTCCTTTTCTCCATTCCCTGTACAGGCTGTCCATGAGTCCAGAAGAGCACAGTGAGTTCTGGAGGAAGGTCCAGTTCACTGTTGATAAAGATGTTGTCAGAACTGACCGAAGCAACATGTTCTTCAGGGGAGAGAACAACCCCAATGTAGAAATCATGAGGTTAGAGAACCACTAATCCATTAATCCATCTTCCCAAAGAAATATTTATGTTCATGGTAACATTTTACTGTAAGGTTCTGTATGTTAACTGCATTAAGCCAACATGTACTAACCATGAAAAATACTAGTAAAGCATTTATTAAAGCTCCGGTTCGTAACTTTTGGGGTTAAAAATTATCCAAAATAATTTTTTGAGCAAGTACATAACCAGCCAGTGTTCAAAACTCTCTGCTTGCCGTAGCTCGATTCAAAACGGTAAGCTTGTAATAATGTATTTAATTCCAGTGGTACTGGTGGGTTTCCGTGGGAGATTCGAGCATGTATTTGCGCCATTACGTTACATCTGTACACAAAAAAAGGAGTCTCGACTAGAAGGCTATATTACGAGTGAGGATGTTAATAAATAAATATCGGAAGAGCATTAAATGTAGTCACACCAAACGATCGATAATCGATAATACGATAACGATAATCGATCGGTAGATTTAATCAGAGCAATTTACTGCAATGGTTTTTTTTTTTCTCTTAGTTGGTCAGAACAAACGTGGATGTTACTTGTTCAGATGACATTTTAGGGTGAAAATTATTATGTTGGTCATACTTCCAAAAAGTATAATCTGTGATTCTGAATGCCAGTATCCACACCGGCGTGGTGACTGACTCCTCAAACATTGGATTCATCAACGCTGTGCCGTGCCGAAGCACAACTAAAGTAAAGTTAATAATTCCGCGAATGACTGCAATTGCAGATTTCGAACAGAGATGGCGACAGAGAGGAAAAACTGCGGACTGCAGCAGTTAGTTAATTTCGACATTTACTAATACAATCTTAAAATCAAAAGTTGCAGTTGTTAATATTATTTAATAGACCGGAGTTAACATGAACTAACAATGAATAGTTACATAATTATTAACTAAAGTTAACAAAGATTAATGTGTATTTCTCAATATTTCTCAATGTTACTTAATGTTAGTGCATTAACTAACAGTAACTAATGGTACCTTATTGTAAAGTGTTACTGTTTATATTTGAAAACATCATGTTGACAGAATCTTCTAGAACCGAAGCTGTTTAGTCATTATTTAATCTAATCTAATATATAATAATGGCATTTTAGATTATAGATAGACTTAATAAGGATTAAATATTGTAAATATGACTTGGTAATAGTAATCATATTATGTTATCTAATTATCTTAGTTTCCAAAAACAATTTGAGGCTACTGTGGCTATAAATTACATCTATATTTTCCTGTTTGGTTATAAATCTGTGGCATTCCATTAATGATATATAATATTTGACTCAACAAAAAGCATCTGCTTGTTTTACATGATTATTTATTTAAATAAGGTTCACTGAAGTCTCTCTTTTCCATCCCCCAGACGTATCCTGTTGAACTATGCTGTGTTTAACCCAGACATGGGCTACTGTCAGGGCATGTCAGATCTGGTGGCTCCTCTTCTGACGGAGATCCAGGATGAGAGCGACACGTTCTGGTGCTTCGTGGGTCTCATGGAGAACACAATCTTCATCAGTTCCCCTAGAGATGAGGATATGGAGAGGCAACTGGTGAGGATCTCTCACACGTACAACTGCCTAGTGGTCAATGGATAATTCGCATGTTCTCTCAAGTGATTTAGGAGTAAATATTGTTATTGTTAAAATGGTAATGTAAATATTTCTTTAATCAATATTCCATGTTATTTTCTATTGTTAAGTTACATCTGATGCTTATCAGATATATTGGCTAATATATTCAAAATATTGGCTAATGGGAGCAAATACAGGGAGAACAAAACGGGGCCTAGAATAGAACCCTGCAGCACACCACACCACATGTACAAGGACGGAAAAGGTGGAAAGGTTTTCAATAGCTTCTGAAAAAGTTCTCCACTTAAGATAGGATGGAAACCCATTTAAAGCTGATCCCCTAATGCCAATGTACTTCTCAAAAAAACGTTTTTTATTTAATGATCAATTGTGTCGTAGGCCGAAAGAGCCAGAATGACACATTTACCCAAATCAAGCTCTATTTGTTTTGTTTTTTTTGCATGACAATCTGAAAATGTGTGTCCAGATGTACCTAAGGGAGCTCTTGCGGTTGATGCTGCCTCGCTTCCACCAGCATCTGACCCGGTTGGGTGAGGATGGGCTTCAGTTGCTGTTTTGCCACCGTTGGGTTCTCTTGTGTTTCAAACGCGAGTTCCCTGATGCCGAAGCCCTGCGCATGTGGGAGGCCTGCTGGGCACACTATCAGGTACAGCACACTGGGGGGTATTCCAGAAAGCAGGTGATTATGCACCATACCCGGGTAAATTTACTCAGAGTAAACGATAACCTCAACTTTCATTCCAAAAACGAAGGTATCTTTCACGGTAAAGTAGCCATAACAACTCTCTGAACAAAACCTGCTCTGGAGCAGCTCCTGTTGCAGATTTAGCCCATGATGGGGCATAACAGATTTCACACAATACACTGTAAAAAATATTTTCAAGATTTGTTATCACAACATTTTTTTTCTTTTGTCAAATCAACTTAAATAATTTATTTAGTTCAGATAACTTATTAATTTGAGTTTTTGATGATTAAGTCAATCTCCTTCATTGCAATAACTCACTTTTCCCAGTTCTATCAACTTAAAATTTTAAGGCAACCAGGTTACTTAATTTTTTAAGTTAAACCAACAATATTTTTTACAGTGTAGTTGTATATTATAACAGTACATGTCCCATTTTTATTCAAAAACCTTAATTACATTGCTTTATGTAGTGTATTTCTGTAATAAAATGCATTTCTGGTGCAACCCATTCTTCATAATATTAAAGATGGCGTTGCAAAGTTTTCCGAGGTTAAATGTTACATATTATGCGGTAATGCTAGTTTTTCTCTTTCAAAAGAAATGGGAACTGAACTTATTTCTCTTTTATGATGCTTACTGTAAAAATTCTGGGAGATTTTGGGGGAAAGTTTAAACCAGTGCATGATGTGGAGATGGCGCCACGGAAAGCAAGACTAAGTTGTTCCTTAAACGCACTTCCATTGGATAAAACAGGGGAACATGTTAATTCTTCCCCTTCAGATAAACGAATGGGTGTCTGTATCATTTTAAGGATCTGCAGAGTGTCTAATGAAGATGAGATGCTAATTAGCATGCTTCCACAGAATCAATTTGCATACATTGGCATGGTAATAACGAGGTGATTTTGGGGAGCAAAGTGGTTAGTCTCCGTGTTGGCCCCTCATTTGCATGTCAGCATTTACTGCTTTTTAATTGGCTCATTTGGCCTTCGTGATTGGTCTAGCTCATGCAATCTGTCTTTTAAGTGGTTGTTTTCGCTCAGGGTTTGCAATTGTATGTTTTCTGTGTTCTCTGACAGACGGACTACTTCCACCTGTTCCTGTGTGTAGCCATCATTGTGCTGTACGGTGATGATGTCACAGAGCAGCAGCTTGCTACAGATCAAATGCTGCTGCACTTTAGTAACCTCTCCATGCACATGAATGGAGAACTGGTGCTGAGGAAGGTATGGACACACACGCACGCACACTGATAGAGCTTCTTATGGTTATGTATGCTGTGTCTTTTTGTCATGCTGAGGTGATGCATCTCTCTACTGCATACAAAACATATTTTTCTCACTGCAACAAATGTTAGCATGCCAAATCAGTTTTGGTGTCCAAACCAACATGGTGTCATCTCTGAAGAAATATTTCTCAAAATCAAAATTGCCTCATAGGGATTATGATAGAAGCAGTCGCACCTCATTTTACCAGCAAGCACACTAGGTTGAACAACTGAAAATACATTCAAGAAATCGTTCGCCCAAAAATAAATCCTGTAATATTTTCTGTATTCAGTGGAACACATATAAAAAGTTAATAAAAAAAAAAATTCCTGGCTACTGTTTTCAATATTTCAGCGTTTTTTAGTATTTATTTATTAATTGATTGATCTTCAATGTTTATATTTTATTTATTGATTGACCTTAAATATTAGTATTTTATTGATTAATTGATTGATTATTTGTTCTTCAATATTAATTAATTGATCTTCTATATTAGTATTTAATTTATTCATTGATTGTTTGATTTATCTTCAATATTAATTGATTGATCTTCAATATTAGTATTTTATTTATTTATTGATTGATTGATTTTCAATATTAGAAATGATTTATTCATTGATTGATTGATCTTCAATATTTTTTATTTTATATGTTGTTTGTTACAGTTTAAAAACATTATTAATCTTTTATCAATAATTAATCTCAGGTTTCTTTCCTCAATAAAAGGAAGTCGAATAATAATATAAATAATATAGTCTAATAATAAAATAGAAAAACTACAGAAATGAAAAAGAAAAGAAATTCAGAAAGCAACTTAAAAATATCCTTTTGTGTTCCACGCAAGAAAGAAAGTAAGTTTGAAACGACTTAAGATTTAGTAAATTATGATGAAGTTATGTGTTTAGGTGAATTATTATTTTAATGAGGCCCTTAAATGATTACTGAATGAGTTACCTCGACAAGTTATCTCTTGATATGTAGATTGAAAATTAATTCATTTAAATTTTTTTTGCACATTTTATGTATTTAATTACATTTATGCATTTGTCATAATAATATAATAAAATAAAAAATATATATATACCTGTTTTTGTCTGGTATTTTTGCAATTCCCTGCAGTCAATCTCTTTCTCATTGTCTCTAATCTTAGGCACGTAGTCTGCTCTACCAGTTCCGTCTTCTTCCCAGAATTCCCTGCAGCTTGCACGACCTGTGTAAACTGTGCGGGCCCGGAATGTGGGATAGCCGTTACATCCCGGCCATAGAATGTTCCGGAGAGCATCCCGACTCTCAGAGCTGCCCCTATGGAGGCACCGCCACCCCCGAGAGCCCACCCTTACCCAGTCCCAACCAGCCCAACCAGGGCAAGAGGGGCTCCAAGACACGAGACATTTTCACTTTCCGCAAGCACTCTTGACTCCAGCACGCCTCAGGAACGCTGTTACCCATAAGGCTTAGCCTCTGAGCCGCCATTCAGAGTGCTGGAATTTCAGGTTCGTCACAGCTGTACTCGACGTCTGCCGTGAAACACTGCCTCGTGCATCGATGCGTTCTGGGGTTCCTATGTTGATGGCCTCTTTTGGAGGTTGAGGAACATCATTAACTTGTGTCACATCAATAATTCAAAAGTACAATTATCACAATCAATCAAGTGTTAGTCTTCATCCATCTTTCATGATGTCACATCTTGCAAACTGACATCTCAGAATGTTTTTGCCTTTGTTTTGTTTTTTTATATCTACTATGTATGCATGTGTTAATGTTTGTGTGTGGTATGTCGAAGGAAGTTTGTGTTTTCAGTTTAGTTTCGGTTTGATCACTTTTTTTATTTCTATTGTGTGCACTCCTTGCCTATGAAGCAAACCATCATCCAAAATGAAGTGGGATGCTGTTATCAATGGCTCTCTGATATTTACGATCATCTGTGCCTTTCATATCCTCACAATAAATATGATGTATAGATGAGAAAATATATTTCTCTTCTTATTTTTTTTTGGGGGGGGGGGGGGGGTTATGTTAAAGTTACATTGCTTTAACTCATCAAAATAAGTTAAGCAATTTTCAACTTTTATACAAGTCTGTTTCATTTAATTTAAGTTGACTTAAAAATTGATTGTACTTAACTTTAAAGTCCCCCTGTCAATTATTTAATCCCTTAAAACTTAAAATCCCTGCCGCTATCTTGAAGTGCATTCCACTTAAGTGGACAGGAAAGTTGATATGGACATACCCTCACTCCCTCGATTTTGACAGAGGGAGTAACTCTACTTCATATGATCAGGCAGCTCCATATACCACAATGCAACATGTTTGTGACGTCAACGCATATTGTGTTTTATTTTCCCACTACAAATGACTCTGATATATTAATTATTTTACAAATATTTAAACAACTCAAACACACCTATACACATCAAGAATGCTGCATAATTGTGTAAGGGGAAAAAAATAATGATAAATCAACTCCATAGTGGATTCTATGTGATCAAAGGCTTAGCACTTTACAATTCAGTCCATTGGAAAGGTACCACCACTAGTGGAACCCCAATTTTGCCTTAATTTTGGACTGGAATGCAGACCAGCTCAGAGACGTGACGTGATTGGTTATGATGTAGTTTGTGACGTCAGAAACGCCAGCAATTTCATGCCTGTTTTTGAGACTGTCAGTTCTTGCAGTTTTGAAGAGAAAAAACAGTCACATTTACAATTTGCACATGGTTTGTCATAAAACATATTAAAAACACCAGATAGAGATATAAAAAACCTTAAACGCTTGATTTTCACCAGAGGAGGACTTTAAGAGAGCAACTTTTTTTTACAGTAGCCTATCCTGGAAAGTTAGCCTTAGCTAGCTACTTTTATAATATTGTATACATTATTAGAATTAAAAATGAATGAATTACCAACTGAGCATAGCCTACATCAAATACATATACATATTATAGGCCTATAATCATAGCCTAATATATAAATCCTAAAAAATGCGATTTGCATTGATGTGTATGTGTGTGTGTTTTTGTTGTGAAATGTTGCAGAAGGTCTTAATCTTCCTCTCCACAACAGAACGAGCTTAAATCCAAAAACCCAAGAGGGAGTTTGACTTTAATTAGTTTATCTAGTTATGGCGGTTGAAAGAGAGCGTGGCGCGCGCACTCAGAGATTAGACACAGCGCGGTTGAGTGCGAGTGCATGAACGTTAAGGTGCCATGGCGTCTTTGCTGGTCCCCAGAGCCTCTTATAAAGGCAGATATATCGGCAAATTGCTGTCAAAAGGTAACATTCGTCTCTTTAAGACCAGCTCTGCCTCTCAACATGCAGTCTCCGCAAATGACGGACATTATGGGCTTTCGTTTAGCCATTAGGCGACCGGGCTGCTGCTCTCTCGAGTCCCAGCGAGCATTTAGGCACTGCCGTGCCGAGAGATCTAAAAAGGGTACTAATGAAATAATTAGAGGATGTGCAAGAGTGTGCTGAGCCACTTTCCATTTATGTCATATCATATGCCTTCTGCTTTAGCCTACAGTTTTGTTTTAATGCCTCGAAGCTGTTGCGGATTGCTACTGTTTCATTTATGTTGATCGGGTTGAATATCATGTCTGCTTACTCATCTCCTGTTTTAGCAACATCAAATGACGCATATAAAGGAAATTACTGCTTATTTGTAACAACATCTACAGCCTACAGGTGATGCTCCTGAAAGCCTATTTCTGACCATAAATCAGTCTTATAACCGTGACACACAGAAAACGTTTCGTTTAATGTCAGTATGAAATAAAAATGGACAATTCTTGTTTGTTGTGATTGAATTTTAAACATTATAAGCTATATATTATTTTAAATTATTTATCCTGGATATCATATTTTTTTAACTCATGTGTCCGTGTAGTAATGAATCAAAATAACTTCACCTAGCTCCATCTTGTCATCTCTTCTTTGATGACGTGTTTATGGGCGTGAGGGCGGGGCAAACTGTCACTCACATGAGCTCGACCAATAGCGAACCACAACCATCCAATCAATTCCTGATGAACAAAATCAAGTCCCACCGTAGCATATACATTTTTTCCCTGAAGCTATTTTACTTGGATAACTCAGATACACCTCAATGCTGACTCTAAGCAATTTGTTTATGTTTGTCTTTGCACAAAGGAAGACCATAACAGTCTGTATGCTCATAAAATTCAATCTCTTAAGCTTGTAGGTTGGTTTGCTGTTTTTATGTGTTGCTGGCAGTTTATTTGCAAAACTTGCAAATTAGCTTGTGTCATTTGGTTTCCGTTGACTTGCAAAAACGTCAAAACACATGATGACAATGAACAAACTGTTTTTGGTACAAACATGAACACACACACACAAAAGCAAACATTTAGCCAACTAAAGACCCAGATAACGACGGCTAATATGAGCATTTAGCCAATGTACTGTTCAAATATACAGGTTGGAGGTTTAGGATAAGCTTTAATTTTCTTTGGCTTTCCATAATGGCTTTCCAAGAATACCTTTTCCATTTCCTGTGAGTGAGCTATTTCAGGAAAGCTAAATCTGATAAAAACACGACCTGGGTAACAACGTGAAGATATCATAAGCCATTTCACGGCCATCCTTGATTGTATTCCTGGAGGGATCATGTTGCTTTTATTAAATGAAACCTGTGTACTCGCTCAACATTACAGTTTTAATATTACATTTGTCATGGATTATCACAAAAAAAGTGTTTTCGAAAAATGTCAGACCTTATGAAAGTGGCATTTCCACCCTGACCTACTTTTTGGTTTCCCCGTCACGGGTGTCCCTCAGATCTGTCGCTGTGTCTCCTCTGCTGTCTTGAATGGCAGGGCAGGTTGCAGATGAGCCCCCTATGGTGAAACTGCACTCACTTATTACCCCTAATTATCAATTATCAGTGCCAGGCTGGCCCACCTGCAGCAAGCTGCTGTGCTAATAAACCCAGGTCATTTGGACCAGCCATAAGTTGACTGACAGCAAGACTAATGGGCCTTTCTCAGGCCCAACACCCCCCCCCCCCACACACACACACACACACACACGCACACACACACACATTAAGAAATTATGAGCAATAAGTTAATATAAGTGCAATGTATTCCAGGTTTGAAAGTCATTTAGGAGGGCTATTGCTTAGGGAAAAAAAACTGTAGAGGTGGTGAGATGTTTTGAACAAAATGGCCCTGTACCGCTTTCCAGAGGGGAGAAGATGAAACAGACTATTGACAGGATGAGAGGGATCAGCCACAATCTTTGCAGCTTTGTTAATGGACCTGGAACTGTGCAGATCCATGATGGAGGGCAGGGGGCAGCCGATGATTCGCTCTGCTGCCCGGATGACTCTTTGTAGCCTGGCCTTTGCACGGGCTGACGCAGAGTCAAACCAGACCGTGAGGAATGACCGCTCTGTAGAATTGTACCATTCTAGGGGGACTGCAGTAAACCTTTCAGGCTGATTTTTCTTCACTAGTTGGGAAATGTTATTGTCCCATTTGAGTGTATTAGTGATGGTTGTGCCTAGGAACTGAAAGTGCTCTATACCAGTCACAGATGAGTTGTTAATGACCAAAGGAGGATGAATCAGGCTTTTTTGCGGAAGTCTCCTGTCATCTCCACTGTTTTATTGATGTTAAAGGGATACTCCACTTTTTTGGGAAATAGGCTCATTTTAAACTGTTGAGTTTTACCGTTTTTGAATCCATTCAGCCGATCTTCTGTTCTGGGGGTACCACTTTTAGCATAGCTTAGCATACATCTTTGAAGTGGACAAGACCATTAGCATTAGCATGATTGACTTGTCGCCTATTTATTTATATTTATGTATGTATATGTATATAGGGATGGGATGTTAAAGTCAGAAAAAGCAGTGTGGTCAGCAGCAATTATAGAATTACCATTTCTTTGCACAAAAACTGGCTTTTCATTTTGATATTCTCTCTTAATGAAGTATATCATTTATTTCAGATCTCACAATTTTGAATTTATTATTTTAGACCATTGTAAAAGATCCCTGGTTTGTATGTTTAAACGGTCTGGGGTACGTTTCCCGTACAACTACGTAGTTCACTGTTTCACTACAATAGTACGATACATCGTTGGAAAAATCAACTAGCTAGTCACGACTGTTTCCCGAAACCCACTGTCGCAAAGTATCGTTCAACCACGTTGGTTTCGCACGTGGTGGAGTAATAACTACTTTCAATGAAACGTCCAATTAACCTAGATTTGTTTTATATAAATTACAGACGTCATCTAATTGGGCTATTTCTAATTGTTCTGAGTTGTTCTGCTTTATTACCAGACTCAATATTTGGCACATTCTTAGCAACATGACATCATGACTTTTGCGTAAACACGCCACTTTCGAGTCAGGTGGCGTGTTATCTCTAGCATTTTGAGCTATCCGCGTGACTTTTGCGTAAACATACACGCCTCTTTCGAGTCAGGTGGCGTTATCTCTATGCATTTTGAGCTATCCGAGTGTATGCGTGTAGCCTATGTCTACTACGCCATTAACGTCCGCGTCATTCCGCGTGTCTTTACACGCAGTCAAATCTCCAGTCATAAATGCCATTAACCCCAGTGACGGTTAAGTTTAGGGATGGGGTTGAGGTAAGTCATATCTTTTTTTTACCTAGGATGGTAAGGGAACAGTCATAAATGCCATTAACCCCAGTGACGGTTAGGTTTAGGGACAGGGTTGAGGAAAGTCATTCATATAACGTTAAGTCAACGGCTTTCATAAACACGCTGAAAGGCGATTATGCGTCTTGATAGCACGCCAAAAATGGAAATACGAATTGGCGTGGCATACAAGCTACTTCATGTGATCAGTCTGTTCTTACATAGTACGTTCGCACATGAATTGACACTCAAATCTATTGACAAACTAAAAGACGTAAATTCCATTTGTATGTATTCTAAATAAAAGGCACCGGTTGTACTGAATGTCAGTTTGCTTATT